AAACAGAGGATATATAAACCTTGACATTTGTTAAAAGACCCAGGCTTTAACCAAAAAAGACCAGAACAAATCAATAGCAGAAAACAGATTAAACAACAGAAAAGTGACTGCTTAGAAATAGAAGCATGTTAACTTAACCCAAGACAAGCTTTCAGCACATACTCAAAAGAAATGGTTATTTGATATATACAGGCACCTGAAAATCTCTCAGACTATACTGGAGCTTCATATAGTGAAATAGTACAATTAAATGAAAGTACAGTAAATAACTGTTACAGCCTGTCTTCCAAAGCCTAGTTTGGGATAGGAGAAGTCAAATTGCTTTTCTTGGCTAAGATTTTGTTCCCATATGAGTGGGTATTAGAATAACTATACATCATGTTAAATTATACTTAACACACTTGCCGGGTTCTATTTAATTCTAGTACCAGCAATGGTAAAAATTCTTATTGTTATTATTATGGTTGTCAAAAACATCAGTACTTTATGAGTAAAACCAATGTAATAGTTCTAATTTATATTTGTAAAGATACTTATATATGGGCTTGAAACAATGTGAATCTTTCTGTTGTTGCCTTTGGGTAAAGCCCACTACTAATACACTCACAGAACATAACACGAATAGAAAGTATTAAGATCATATTTACAATTATTCATAAGTCACAAATACACATGTGCATACCTATGTGTATATGTACACATGCTAGTAAAGGTATGCCTTACAGATCTTTTTATAGCAAAATATGACTTTAAATGTCATCTTTTATTTTACCAACCAAAAAGTTCTGATAGTAATAATAGAATCATACAGTGGTTATAGGATCATAATAATTTTATTCACTCATTTATGCTAATACGTGAACCATTCATTTGAAAGGCATGTTGCAGTTTAGGGAAAAATGGAGGTATTGCAAATCCAAGCTTGATGTAAAAACTGTTCACATCATTAGTAATGCTGTAAGAGAAAACTATAAGCTCTCTCAAAAAATCTATTGAGATGTAAAGTAAGAGTTTCAAATAAAGTAGACCCTGAAGAACAGTTAAAGGATCTCAAAGGTTTTTAATACTTTCATAATATCGAAATATCTTCCCCTGAGCAGGTATATTTGTGTCCAAGTAGAAGTAAAGCATAATAAATATAAGTAAAGGCAACAAATATAAGTGAAACAAATATAAGGATTCAGTTACCTATTAATTTGAATATGTTTATGAATATTGTTTGTTGGTTTGTTTGCTTAGAAACAACAAGGCTGTATTTTTAAGGAACATTTCTAGGTTTGGTCTCTTAATTCCAAGTGGCATTGTTGTCTCTTACAAGACTCTCTTGTCTTCCCTCATCCCCTTGATCTAGACAAAATTCTAACCATTTGCTGATGGAGGTGCCTTTATTGAATATTTCTGAAGGAACAAATTGCCTGTTTGAACAAAGTAGAATCAGTAAACCTGTCATAAACATGGGTATTGACAAGAAAATAACTGAGTTTTAGTTTTAATTTATATATAATACTTTTACTTCCTGCAAGACTCTACCTAGGTGCTTACTTTACGCTTAAATGCAAAGCTGCTCTTATTTCACCACAAGAGCATTCATACCTAGATTTCCACTGAAGTAGCAAAAGACATGGATTAAAAATAAGCATAGTAATTTGTGGGCACACATATGATAAATCAGGTGAGTCCTATGTTTGCAAAGCATTCCATTCCTATATTTTCATTTTTTCTTTCTGTTTGTTCTTGCATTAAACTCCAGGAGAAAGAATTTCAGTAATAATAATTCTTATATTTGACTAATACCTTCATTGTAAATGAGGTTTTTCTCTGCTTTATGACACAGTTTTCCAATCATGTTTAACATTTAAGCCACTAGCAATCTGTAAGTATGTCTGAGAATTAGGTGTAATATGAATAGGAATAAGCAAGCTTCACTGTGCTTGAGAATTCCTCTTCAGGGGATAGGCTGTTGGATCTGTTTCTTGTCGCTCCAGTTAGGCCGATAACTGGAGCAGCAATCCTAGTAATAATACTCTTCTTTTCCTACTATTTAGTAGATATCACAAGTGCTTTATCAGAAGAGCAAGCATAATTATGCCCATTTCAAAGATGGGAAGATGGAAAATACAAAAGGAGGGATTTACAGTGATTTACAACAAACCAGTCTTGTCAATATTTCATTCTAAATTAGTCAATCATTCCCTACAGTGGTTTTATTGCATTTGGCTGAAAATACTGAGAACTGTGTGAAGGATGGAAAGAAAGATTCAGTTTATCTATCTATCTAGGTCACTACTGTAAAGTTTAAAGCGGGCCCTAGGAAATCTAACCAGCATTTCAGTCTAGTTAAAGAGAGCTGTGACTGTCAGACTTCAGGATAGCTTCTGAGTTGTTAAACCTGCATCAAGGGAGCAGAGAGTTTACACCTTTAAAATATTTGGGATTTTGCGAAATTACCTTCAGGCTGAGAAAGTTATCCTGCTCTGTTACTGAGGTTCCACAAATCCTGAGCTGTGATTCTCACAGACATCTAAACCGTTGTTTTGTTAGACAGCTTATATGCACTCAAGATTAATAAATTAATACATTTTACTCACATTAATAAAAAATACATTTTACTCACAAAATACTTGACTACTCTTTTCTCTGAACAATGCATAAATTGATTACAATTAAAAAATTAAAAAAATAAATTTGTGAACTTTTGACTTTGAAGATTAGACAAAAATGATTTGTGCTATGACAGATACGGCTGTTATTCTGAAAAAATAAAAGGATATATGAGTAATTTATTAAGACTTTTCACAAGTTTCTTGTAGCAAATTACAGCAAATCTTTGGGGATTTTTATGGAATAATAATATATATTTCATACTATTATAAGGGCAGTATATCCTCTCCAATGAATTACATACACTTATTAGTGGAAAGCCAAAAAACCTACATTTACAGATTTCTGAAGTCCATCATGAAAATAATATTTAGCAGTACAGACAGGTTCATAAACAAGTGAGGTTGTTAGTCCAGAAATAATCCAGATTAGGCAATTGAGATGTGGTTGACTTCCTCTTTTCCTACGTTACCACTTCTAAACCAGTTTTCAAATTTATTATTGATGGGTTTGTTCTGGCATTTGTATTTATTCTATTTTTAAAATAACATAATAAAAAATATTTGTTTTGACAAAATATAGGAATACATAACTGTTATGTCTAGTTTACTGTTAGCATTGATGCAACATTAAAGATAAGTGCTCAAGAAAGTCAGGCATAAATTGTCCCCAAACTTCTTTTCCAGTCTAAACATGCAATATCTATTTCCCTTTTTTTAACAAAGAACACATTCCTGTCTTAAATATATATATATATATTTTTTTTTTATTTAGCAGCATTTGCAACTTCAGAAAACATCTCTCTAAATTAAATAAGGGATGTAATTTTTAAAAAAATTATTAGCAAGTTAGATTTATTTTGAAGTTTCACTACTTAGCCACTTAATTTACTAATTTGAGAGTTTCATCCTTCAGTGAATATGTTGTGGTTCCCCGTCAAAAGAATTAATGGAAAGTTTACCGCTTGATTAAATAAATTTATTCTTTGCCCTTTAACAAAAGCCTTTCTGTACTAGAGATAGCTACTGCCATTTGAGGTGTTATATTAAAGGATCCAACGGCAAGGAAACTGGGAATCCTGTAAAGATAAGACATTAGTATTTTAAACCTTTATCAGGTTGATCTAAAGTTGTATATTTTAAGAAAAAAAAACCCATTTGACTACATCTGTAGAGCCATAAGAAAACAGAGATCATGTTAAAAATGCTTGAAAGCTCTTGATTGCAAAAAGAGAGAATTATTTACTAAGATACATTTGCAATAACTTAAAATTTCATAAAGTAAGGACCTGTAGGCTGGGAAAAGCTTCTGACATTTAGATCTAGCAGACCACAGAAGAACATCCATGAGAAAACAAATAAGTTCTTGCTGTTTGAAATTTTTAGCTACATTGTGTATATTAGCAGATAAACTTATATTCAGTCATATGATTTAGGGGGTTTTTTTTGGGGGGGGGACTATTTATTGTGATAAATTTACTTCGGTATTAAAAAATACTAATAAAGTTAAAATATAAAAAATATTTAATACAGGTAGTCATCTTCAATAGGTAGCAAAAAGATATTTGTAGAATTTTTATTTTATAAGATAAGATAGCATGCTAATTATATATATATACCTATATATATATAAAACCTGCTGTTACTGTGAACATCATATCGTTCTCTTGGAAAGTTTGAGTTGTCTTCCACAGATGCTTTCTTCCTTATAGATGTCTAAAAAAAATCTATTTCCAGCTGTAAAGTGTTGGTTTATGTAAAATACAGATCAAAATCAGGTTTACTGATTATTTTATTGAAAGAATTTTCTTAAGTATTTTGTAGAAACTATTGTCTAAATTAAGCATCTGCGTGCATGTCAATGAAAGTGATTATTTCATGTATTTCTCTGTGTGATTAAACTTTCTGTGGCACCATTCTACATCAAACTTTACGTATTCCAGGGCTTAAAAAAAAAAAAAAAATATAAAGAAGTTACTCTTTTATTTGGCCTACTATGGTAAAACAATAACTTGTTAATTTGATATATTTTCTGAACTAGTTCTCTGTCCACTTGAAGGATGAATGACATTACTAGTTTCTATGTCAAAAGCATTGTGTATGTCTATATGTGTTTAACATATGTTCAAAATGGACAGGTAGCCACACTTTTGAATACATTATAATTTTGTGTAGTGATTTTACTGTCTATTTTGATAAGGAGTTTCTTTTCTAAAAAGTACTACCTTGTGGAAATACTTGTATTACTTTTAAAACCATAAGCAATGCATAATTTTAAAAGTTGTGTGCTATCAAATGAGACATTAATATATATTGCTGTCTTAAAAAAATATATGATGCAGTGAAATTTAGGGAGTTTTGTTCATTTGTTTTTTAATTTCACGTCTGTTTATTGTTTAGAAAAGAATATATCTACTCCAGAAAAATCTTGTCTGGGCCCATCTCATAAAGAACGGATATCATTTCGAGACCATCCAGTGCAGCTCAGCGGAGGATGGGGAGCAGGCAAAAAAAGGCAAAAGCTTAAAAATATCAACTGAATATTGGAGATAGTTTAACTAGTTGATTTAATCAAATATGGAGAGCATATGGAAAGCTGTTTCTTTTTAAGCCTGTGAATATCCATTGTTGGATTCATATTTATTACCAATATAAATAGTCTCAGTTAATGACATTTGACTTATTTTATTATACATGGTTACAGTGGTTTGGAGTTGGGTTTTTTTTGGTCAAAGTATTTTATACCTGTCAGTAAGTTATCATAGTTAGTGTTTTCAATTGCTTATATGTTCATGCGGTGTAGAATGCAGAACTGATTAACTCGATAAGGGTTGTTATAGGGTGAACAAGTTTAAGCTTGCTTATAAGAACTGGTTGAGATGTGCAAATGTAATAATGGTTCATGCTCATGTGATGTATGTCACATATTAAAACAATGAATTCTCATTTTCTCACAAATAAAATACGTGCTTGCGAACTATATTGTGAGCTGCAACAACCAGCGATGCCATTCTTAGAGAGGACTGTTTAGAATATTTTACCAAAGCGGCAAAAATTCACAGCAACCTACAAATACTGGAGATGTACTTACCTTTCTTTAGTAATAGAAGTCCTCTAGAGCTTTCATCCTGAATTATGGTCATAATATGACAAAGCAATCTGTTACAGTTTTATACTTTCAAGGACTTCTAACATTTTCCTAGAGGGTTGAAGAAAAAAAATCAATTTACTAAGTTCTTATTTTGTTCTGGTGTAATGTAACGTTACATCTACATGACACTGCTAACCCAGCTTTATTTGTTCATGTAAGCCAGCCTCCTTCAGACCCATGTGTAAAAGTTTTGCAGTGCAAAGAGATCTAGAGAAAGAGAAGAAACACTATTTCAGCTATTCACGGGTACCTAGCTCATTACTTCTAGTGAATGTTTTGTCCATCAACACACAGGACAGAAAATGTTCCTTGATTTCAAAGCCTAACATTATTTAAAAGTTTTCCAAATTGAGGGTAGAAGTTGCGAATTGGATCTAGAGAAGTCTCTCTTAGGTATTTCCTCATCTTTTTTGTCCAATATTGTGAAGCCTCAACCCCCTACTGACTGTGAGAGAAGTGGGGAGGGTAATGGGGCTTGAAACTTCAGTCAATAAAGAACATAAATTCGTATGTTGTGGCTGTTTTTAAAATGTACTTAAACTACATATGACTTCTTTTTTTGAGGTGCTTTATGTGCTAACATACATGTATGACTATGGGTTGAAAGCAGTTATCTCCATTTTTGTCAATACTCACATTCATTTTCAGATTAAAAAATGGCTGATCTCACGGAAAACCTCCATTTATTTAACCTTGCTCATTTGAATCCATGTGCTGTTTGTGTTATAATTTTACTTTTCAAAAGTCAGAGAAGATTTCTTTTACCTTTCTGAGGAATAATGACCAGTGAAAGTTACTTGGCCTGACTATAGAAATGCTGTGGTTGTCAGCAGGTTATAAAATATCATTAGATGCTGAAGTTATCAGTTAATTTCCCAATGTATGTAGTAAGTGTTAAACTGAATTTCCGGATCTGCTGTATAATGACTTAAATGTCCCCCCCAAAGACAGGAGCTTCTGTAGTTTCAATTGTATCTTGAAGGATACAGGTTTTGTGGGAAAACCTTTGTTCAAAATATGTGGCACTGTGGCCAGTAAACAGATGTGCCACTCTTACAGGTGTTAACTGGAAATCAAAATGCTAAATGAAGCTTATTCACTCCGTTTGTCTAGAGTGTCCAGAATATACTGCACATGACCATAGCTGTAGATAAGATATTTGTATTTCATATCTCATAAAACTTTCTGTATCTGTATCATCTATATCTACCTCTATATCTAAAAAAGATCTATTGTGTTAAAGTTATCATAATTAATTTATTTTGCTGTCCAGGTGTTTCGAATGGGAAATACCTCCGGGTCTAAATAAAATGTTTTGGCAGCATTTTCAAAGGCATTTTATTTTGAAAATAGAAGCTTTTAAACATATAATTTACTAAATTATAAATTGGAGTGACAGTATTCACTGACATGCCTTTTTAGGTCCATAATATGCTTAGTCTGCTATTCCATAAATTGATATTGTCATGCATAAATTAAATAGTATGCCAAACAGTAATCAAGTTGTAAAGTATGCCAGAATATGTTGCTGTTTTCATTACATAACATTGTGATGTGAAATAGGATGATGTCTTATTGTTGTATCCAACACATTTTTTTAAGAATTGCAGTGTTGAAAGTACAGTGCGTCCAGTCAAATACGGATAAATGTGCAAGGTGCAACTTCGGTTCAAGCTACCTACCAGACCTTTATTGCTTTCAGGAATAAGGTGAAGCAACCCTAAATGTGGGCAAAAGCCTGCTGTTCACAATCACATCTTACAGTATGTAAGGGTAGAGGTAACACGAATGCTACACATGGTGACAGATTTATGACATGACTTTTTCAAGCCTTATTCTGCAGGGCAGAAAGCTGTTCCATGCTTTCTTTGTGTCTTTCTTGGGTTTTCTCTTCCTTCATCCTTTTTTCTTTTTCGTTTTCTTTTTTTTTCCTCTCCCCTCCCCCCTCCC